AATCGTCACGCGAACGCGCTGTGGTCCCCGAGTCCCCGGGTGCGGCGACGGCGGCGACCGAACAGGACGCCTCCCACCTTCCTGGGCTCACGCGGCTGCCGGGAGCCAGGCAGCGAACAAGGCTCCGAGAAACAAGACATCGCTCCAGGCAGCGCTGGGAGCTGAGAAGGAAAAATTAAAAGAGTAATGGGACGAAGCAGGGGGACAGGGGAGATGGGCAGGCCGGGAGGGCCTCTGTAAGGGGACGACTTTAGAGCTGAGACCTGGACAATAAGGAGCCGGCCCGGGAAGATCCGCGGAAGTTTCCCAAAAGGGAACAAGTGCAAAGGCCCTGCCTGGAGCGGTTAGCTGGAGCGAGGGGGGCAGTGAGAAAAAAGTAGTGACAGACGGTTGAAGAGATGGATGGATTCCTTTTCCTGGACAATTGCAAAATTCCCCGCTGAACTGCAGTGGGGCTGGGGGAGAAGGAGCAGCTGGTTAGGGGGCGTTTGCAGTTGCCCCGCAAAAGATGATAGTGCCTGAGGTTAGGGTGGTGGCGCTCGAGATGAAGGTGGGTGGATCGTGTGGGAATACGTGTTCCCAACAGTCTTATGAATCCAGTTTACTGTCCCCTTTTACAGATGGGAGTAAAGGGCAACAGAAAAATTAAAGTTGGCTTTTATCAACTTGTTTGCCTGCAACCCAGCGTTAAAAAAAAAATTAATTTCACATCACAACCCAGTACACAGAGGTAGATACATTTAAGTAGTTTAACAGAACAATTCTGTAGTTAATGTATTCTCTCTACTTTCTTTTTTTTTTTTTTTAATACTGAGACATTGATTGATTCACAAATAAGTCTTGATACACAATAGAAAACACTTAGTTGAGGACCAAGTCCCACTGGGGAAAGGAGCCAGAATTCCAGCCCGATCCTGTGTGACCTGGGCCTTCCTACCACAGTGCCTCAATACAGAATTTCTGGGAATTTATGTTTTGGATTCAGCAGAGGTCAAGAGCTCTTTGGGGAATGATGCTCTGCAGCCTATTTATAAAAATGCAAAAGTGGGAAGCTCCAAAGCCCAACTACAGTAGACTAGCTAAGCAAATCGTGGTCCACCTCACAAGGAATCCCTGCAGTAACTGAAAATGCTAATTATAAAGATTATGGGAAAGTGGGGAAGAGTCACTGATAATACTTTAAGTTTAAAAAAAGCCCCATGCAAAATGGTCTGTACACCATGATTACAACTATGTCAAAATCCGGCCATGTGTAAGGAGAACGTAAAAATGAAAATACTTGTCAGATGGGTACTAGACTTACCAGGGTGTCACTTCATAAATTATATGTCTAATCACTATGTTGTACACTTGAAACTAATATATGTCAATTGTAATTGGAAAAAATTTTTTTTAATTTTTTAAAATGAAAATGCACATTTGGTTGATGGGTTTGTTTTTTCCATTTTCAAAATTATACTTCACAGTTGTTAATTTGTTATTCTAATTAAAGAGTCTGTGTGCCCGAATCACCCCCCCCTCCCCAGAAAGTCTAGTTTAGGTCTGCTTGCCTCTGTAACCTTTGGTAAGGCATCACATACCTGCCTCGTGGAGTCATCATGAGGATGATGTGTTTATACCTTCTCATAGCACTCTGTACTTTTTCTTCATGGCACTTGACGCAGGATAAGTTTTTGAGGGTATAGTTTGTGCTTTAAGTTTTCTAGCACCATCCACCCCCTTTAAGTATTGTAATTCCTTCTTCCTGAGATTTTAACCAGCTCCTGGAGGACAAAGAATCAAAAGCCTAATGCCAACAGCTCTTCTGGGCTTTTTGAAAAATCTAAACTTGTTGAGGAGATTGTACTAGGGGGTGAGGGGAGAAGGAAGAGGGCATGTGAGAAGCTAGGAGCAATATTCCCAGGCCATATAACAAAAGAAGAGACTGTGCTTGCCCTTAGAGAGACTAGACCTCAAAGAGGCTGATAAAAATCATTTTGACAACACAAAGTACTTTTTATGAACCAGATACTTCTATGGAAAAATAAACGTGTGTGAGAGAGAGAGACTGACTGAGGCGTAGAGTGGTTAAGTAACTTTCTCAAAGTCACCCAAGGTCTATAACTCCCTGGTAACAAAGCCAGAATTCAAACCCCGAAGATCTGACTCCAAGAGCCAGTACCTTCACCACTATACTATATTGTCTCCTATGGTCCTCAAGGTCCTGGAATGGAGCCATGATGGGCCCCAAATGGGTAAAAAGTTCCCACCAAGATTCCCCATATCTTATACCTAACACAAATGCCACAAAGCCCCAAGACCTTGAGGTTCTATACCAGTAGGCATCTTAATGATCCACAATCAACCTCTGCAGATTACCAGAGGGCATCACCTGTTGCATAGCCCTTCCATAAGGAGCTTTACACAATCCCAAGACCTTTGCACAACCCCTGGAAGGGAACCCTCCCCCTATAATGACTGAGATTGTAGCCCAAAGAGACGAGGAACTCAAATGGAACTGAGCTGATGGGAAGAGAAAAAAATAGACCAAGATATCTGAGTTTAAATCGTGGCTCTGCCATTTACTGGCTATATTACCTTGCTCTGACTTCATTTCTGTCGTGACTATAAAATGCAGATGATATGTTAATGATCCACCCACCTTGTAGTTTGTGGTATGTATTAAATGAGTTAGTACAGGTAAAGCACTTAGAACAATCCCTGGCACATTGGTAAGGCTATATAAGTGTTAGCTATCATTACTATTACCTATCTTTGGGTCTGAAAATGATACCTAGTACACTTTTATCATGGTTTACAATTACACATATATTTATATCATTATAATAATGCCGGAGGCCTCCATTAAGCTAGAACCTCACAGGGTCAGGAACTACCCATGGATTGCACACTGAATCAGTGTGGCTGACTCAGCTTCTCCTATCTACAGAAGTACATAGGAAACCTTGTTTTCCTTTAATGATAAACAGGAAAACTCAATCTGTCCTGAAGTGTACATGTGCATGTATAGGAGGGAAGTGATCCAGCCTTAGAGACATGTGACTATGGATCTACACATTGCAGTATTTTTTTCAGTGAGTCAAAAATTTAATCACGAAACCAATGAAGTTTCCACAATTAAGCTCCCAATACTAAGACAGAGAAATATGTATCTAACATAAAGATTTTCAAGAAATTAGAGGACAGAAAGCTATACCAGCAAGTGATAAGTACAGCCGTCCTAAAGAGATCTGATACATCATCCTTTCCTTCTGACAAAAGATTTTCAAAGTGTTTCTACACCACTCGAAATGGTTAATTATCTGGTAGAAACTCATTACTCCATCCTTGTGACACACCCAGCAGCAGGCAGGCCATTGCAGTAGCCATTTGTTTTCGTAGTGACAAGAATGGTCGCGCCTTCCTCCATGGCTGGGAGTGGAAAGAAATGGTCAGAATCAACCTTTAGTTTGCTCTTGACACAGTCTTCACAGGTACATTCTTCCACTGTGTACTCCAGGCCTCTGGAAAGAACTTCTGCGCCGGTCCCGCTGTCTTTTCTATTTTCCAGGTCAGCATTAGCCTCATTCTGGAGAGCTGATCCTGATTATGAAGAAACAGAAAAGTTAACCTAACCTTTTCAGGATTGTGGCCATGACAGTCTCAGCAGTACACTTGCACACTCAAAATAGTACCAGACAGATCTTTTCCTACAAAACAGTGAGCATTTTCTACGCTAGAAGGCGCAAACTGACACGCCACAGGCCCATTTGGGCTAGAAGACATGCTTTCGGACATAGAAGGTTTGTCAGTGTTCGCTTATGTTGGCCCACATTTAAAAACCAACGGATTTTACATACGAATCTAGATGACTGGCCCCCTTTTTTTTTAATGTAACAAAATGTGGCTAGCGACTTGGAGCCGACATTCCTACACGGAAACGATTGGCTGAAGTCGGTCGCACCTGTCTCTGTCAGGCAGGGCGTGGGCTCCCCTATTGCGGAAGCCTCCACCTGGCCTGCTACATGCATTTGTTATCCACCTGGCCCATAGAGGCATTGAGGTATCGGCCCTATTTTACACACATGAAATGACAAATTACCAAATGTTACGGTATACCAAAATCAGCCTGTGAATGACACATTAGAATTCAAAGTAAAGGTGCTTCTCTTTTCACATTGCAGCAGATTAAATTTCTTAAATAAACTTCTTGTGATCACATAAGGGAGGAGTGTCCATTATATGCCCATTATATGCTACTTCCCCAGCCTTCCACAGTATAACTCCATCTCCCAGAGCATCACGAAGTCATTCCTCACCTCTCTCTCAGACCCCAGGCAAAAAAAAAAAAAAAAAAAGAATAAATTATACAGAACAACCATTTACCTCCCCTTACTGCACGAGAAAACAACAAGGTGGATGCTTTACAGATTGTGCACAAAAAATAAATGCATAAAGAAATAGGGCAATGGCTGTGGAGTGTTTGGAAATCAGATCATGGGCAAAAGTGCTACAGAAATATCTTTATCTAAAGAAGCTCTTAAGACCTTCAAGGTCTTAAGAAATAATCACTTCCCTGGCAACATTCAGTTCTCTGGGACTGGTTCTCTACTGCTTATAAAAATAATAATCTTTGAGATGATTGTTCAAATAATCCAGGAGCAACTGATTATTCATTTCTGGCATTTTTCGGCAGTAAAATGTTCACCCAAGCAAACAACACATTTGTATTAAACATACAGCTGCAGATCTTGCCAAATATACTTTTCCTGATAGTAGCAGACCTGGCTAGTGGTTTCTGATACTATGACGTTTAATCAATGTTCTAACTTTGGTGAAAGAGATGAGTGTTTCCCAAGGAGGCCTCAGTAATTCAAAAGAATAATTACCAAGGGAAGAATGTGAGAGAAGGCTGACATTGTAGGACACATGCAAAGAAGGTATAAACATCAGAAAGAAGACAGTTCCCTTTTACCAAGAAGTTCATTTAACAAAACTATCCTCCCACACACTCAAAAGGGCTCTAAGTGAATGAAATAGTCAATGTAAAAAGAAAAAGGAACTGAACTTGCAATAACCACCCCTTGGAAATAGATTTCAAAGATTGACCATCAAACCAACCTGTGCTTTTAATTTCATCCTTTAATGGTTCCGATCTCATCTTCCTTAGCAAGAACATCAGCACGAAGAGTGTCAAAGACACCAGCAAGCTCAGGCCCAAACAGGTCCAGAGGATAGTATTTGTTCTTTTCACTGAATTAAAAAAAAAAGTCAGATAATGGACTGATAACATGCACATCAAGTAAAGATAATTGCCATCCCTGATTCATCAGCATTGACTTTCAAATTTTAAATAGCACTTAATTAAAAGAATTGATAAAATACTGGGTTGCTAGCAGTGCTGAATACAATTATGTTCAGTTCCGAATAATCACTTTGTTCCTGCTGGCGTTTAAACAATTGCCTTGTTCCCTTTCTCTTTTTTTGATTCAGAAAAAATCTCACCATCTTCCCTGTAATGTTTATTCTGTAAATAAACAGTCAATAGAGAGAGAATACTTCACGGGGATGAATAATCGTTCAAGCAGTAGTACTTACTTGCATTACAATAATGCTGACATGTTAGAGGAGGGCTATTAGAACATCGTAGGTGACACGGTGTGCAAGCATTCAGCAACTTGTCAAAATAATCATCTTGGATGCACTGCTGAGCCATCTGGAACTTGATCGTGAAAAGAAACAAGAAAATCACAGGAAGAACAGCACGGAAAGACAAGTAAAATTTCGTCAAGAATTCCTCAGCAAGGAAGCTACGACATTGAGGGAAAAAAGAAGCTTGCAGAGATGACTTGGTTCTTATGGGGGCTGCCTCCCTATACTGTGGCTGAAGATTTGAATATCTGCTCTAATTCCTGTTGCAAAATTTGAGGCTTAGGTGGTGTAAGAGATGGGTGTAACTATCAAGCACAAACCATACCTGAAACAGAAACTGCTTATTTATAGCGACAATTTCTCAGCCAGGTGACAGTTCCAAGATGTAGACAAGCCTGCGGCATCAAGCAGAAGGTTCAAAATAACCATTTTTGGAGCATGTGTTTATGAACCGCACTGTGTGGTAGGCCCCAGGGAGCTACATAAGACAAGGTCTTCTCTTAAGAACTTACGATCTAACAGGGGAGATAAAAACTCACTCAAGTAACCCCAAAATATAATTGCAACTGATGGGATGTTGAGAGAGGGAAAGGGATATCAAGCATGCCTACCATGTTTTGAACCTAGGAAGAATTCCAGAATTCTGAAAGAAATAGGGAAGTCTAGGGTAAAAGCTAAATTGGCCCGAGGGTTGGTGGGGACGATAGGCTTGGGGTATTATTAAATCATTATTAAAATGATCCATGTTCCATTGTTGGAAGTTTAGAAAGAAAATGCAGATGAGCAGATAGAAAAAAATATATATATCTATAGTCCTAGCACCCAGAAATAATCACTGTTAACATTTTGGTGTAACAGAGGTTACAGACAGGCCTGCTGATGTGTTCTGTTTGGCCCACCTCTGATATAGATCTTTCTAGAAGGATTTCTATAGATGAATGTATAGATTTATATAATGTATTTCCCTTTTTACATAAATGGAATCACTTGTGTTTGCTTTTAACCATACTGAGTGAGACACCCATATAGAGGTATCCAGAGACATCAGTGAGAAATGCAGGATTCAGTTAAAAATGCAAAGAAATGACAAACTCCAAATTCAATACAGTGATTATCGTTCAGGAACAGGAAGGGTACAAAATGGTCATATTTTATTAAGCTGAATAGTGGGTACACTGGTATTTGCTGTGTTATTTGTTGTATCTTTTTCTTATTCTTTATAACTTTTCATATTTGTAAATAGCACATAATAAATATTAATATAGCGATAATAAAAATAAAATGCAGGAATTTTAAAAAGCACATTTTTTTAAATGAAGGACTTGAGCCTGGAACCGAGTTTAAACAAAACTCTGTATTGACCAAAACCTTACATTCCTCCAGGGTCCAGGTAGTGACCTCAATGGTGGGAAAGCCTAGGTGGGACAACCAGGGGCTGAACGGACTGGCCCAGCAGGTTCCACTCCCTCAATCTCCTGTCAAATGGTGATTTTTAGAGGACAAGCAAAGGACACAGGAAAAGCATGAATAGAGGAAGAGGAGGACAAAGATTATCTCTTATAACAGCCAAGCAAAGAGTATCAGGACAGGATGGGCAGTCAGGTCAAATTCTATAGAAGTCAAAGGTGATGCACTAAGGAAAGAGGTTATTGGTGACCTTTGAGTGCGTCAGTGGGCAGAAGCCACATTATAGGTATTTAGGGAGTGGAGAGAAAGAGGAGGCAGCCAATGTGGGCCATGCCTGGGGAGTCTGGTGGAAACTGGAAGAATAAAGTTTGGATAACTCTTAGATAAGAAAGCACTGTTGTTTCTGACAGATGGACTTGCTCAGATGCTTGAAATCACACGTACAAGGATGCTCACTGCAGCATCACTTGTATTTGCAAAAAGCCAATGTGGGCCTCACAGTGGACTACTACACAGCCATCAAAAAGAATGAGACAGATGTCTTCTGATCTGAATGATACATCACTGAGTGGAAAGTGAAAGGTACTGAATAGTGCGTATAATCTGCTTCTCTGTGTTTACAAATAAAATAGATAGAGTTTGTATAAAGAGACATAAACATAGGCTATATCTGGAAAGATACACAGGAAACTGATAGCAATTATTGCCTCTAGCAAGAAACAGGAAGAGTACAGTGAGAAAAAGACTTAATCTTCATTGAAAAAATCTTTGGTACTGTTTGAATAACTATTCTTTAACAATGATTATTTTAAAAATAAGAATCATTTTTAAAAGGTGGTATCTTAGTCTGTTCAGAATGCTATAACAAAATACCATAGACTGGGTGTCTTATAAATAACAGCAATTTATTTTCCACAGTTCTAGAAGTTGGGACGTCCAAGTTCAAGGTATCAGCAAGTTTGGCATGTGGTGAGAGCCCACTTCCTCCCTCACAGACGGCTGTCTTTCCATTATAATCTTACATAACAGAAGAGGTGAGAGATGTTTCTAAAGCCTCTTTCAGAAGAGCATTAATCCCATTTGTGAGGCCTCATGACCTAATCACCTCCCAAAGGCCCCCACCTCCCAATCCCACCACATTGGGGGTTAGTTTTCAACATATGTATTGAGGGGCTGGGGGGACACAAACATTCAACCTACAGCAAGTGGGGAGCTTGGAAGAGGAGAGAAAGTAGAATGAAAGGAAGGTTTCCTAGAGATGAAGAGCGTAGGCTAAGGAAAAAAGAATAAACATGTCAGAGAGACCACTGAAGAGCAGAAGCTGGGACAGTGTGAGGCCTAAAAACCGAAAGCACCAACTGAAGCCTGTCCCCAGGGACTCTCACTGGGCCTTACGAGCATTGAAGCCCCAGAGGTTACTCTTCACCTGTAGGCCCCCCACAACCTGGAGGAGCCAGGTGTGGCTCCATCCTCAGAGGTCATAGCAGCCCCTTCTTGGCCTGTCACAAAGCCTTCAGGTATGCAGGGTGGGCTCCCAGGGGCCAGGGCCAAGGGGCTTCACTCTCTCTCCCCACAAGTATATTCTCTCTCCGGTCATCTCAAGCTTGAACTCAGTGCAGGCCTTGGAGCTGCGCCATGCTGGAGGTCGGCCCAGAGAGGGTTTCGACGAAGCCTGCTGAGGCCTCCCAGGCAGCTCTGGTTCCTCCTCTTCCCCAGGCCTGTCGTTCAGCATGTTCAGCTCCATCTTTGATTCTGTGGGGGAACCCCGGGATCCTTCCAATAAAGTCCGTTTTTGGTTTAAATTAGCCAGAGTCAGTTTGGGTTGGTCTCTAGCAATCCAAAAATAAAAATAAAATCCGTAACCATATTAAACAATTCTGAACTGATTCTTTCACCCATGCTTGAAATGTTGACCACCGACACCGATTGTTTTTCCTTTGCTCCTTGAGATGGGGGTGATGGGTTCATTGTGACACCTTGGGGTCAGCTGATCCTCCTCCATAACAGGTAAGTTGATGGGGAAACACAGACTAGGAGGAGACAGAGGTAAATATGCCAAGGTGGTAAGAGAATGTTAAAGAGGATTAACATCCTCTTTCCACAAGAAATAATATAAAAACAAGTTAAAAGGAATTTACTGGCTCTGCAGCTGAAAAGTCCAATGGTGGAATCAGCTTGAGTGGCTTGAGTTATGTCCAACAATCCCCTGGTTTCTCTCTGTCACTTGACTCAGTAATGCCATCTTCTAGATCCTGGCTCCATTCTCAGGTCCTCCCCTCATGGTCACAAGAGAGCTGCAGCACCTCCAGACCTCACATACACTATGCCAAGAAATCTCGTCTGCTCCCGTGTTTGTTTTCTTTTGTTTTGTTTTGTTTTGTTTTGTTTTGTTTTGTTTTTTGGACAATTAGTTTTCTTTAAATATTTCTTTGTAGGAAGGGACACCCAGTCAATTCTATTTTTTTACGCCTATCATGCGTAATTCATGGGAAATGGGTTCCCACAGCACAGGCTCCTTTCCACTGGTTCTCACAAAGTGGGCTCCTGTAGGTGGAGCAGGCTGGCACCAGGCATCTTTCTCTTTGGCTTCCTTCTTTTTTTTTATCATTTTCCTTCACACATTTCAGGACGCTATCACAAGTCTTTGAGAGCTTCACAGGCTCAATACATACATTCGTTCTCTTGGCAAGAATCTTCCCCTTCACTTGTTTACAAAGCCAACTGCATGCTGGGTAACACTGTAGACTCTTCCAGTTTTGCCATGGTAACACTGGTGAGGCATTCATTTTCGAACAGTGCCCATTTCCTTGACGTTTGCAGTATCATCTTTCCTGTAGATTCACAGGCATGTGGCCAAAGGCCTTTCTAAAAGGCCTAGAGAACCATGTTTTCTGAAAGGCCTGGAGAACATAAAGCAGGTGCCTCTCCTCTTTCTCTTGGTGTTGGTCATTTTGGAGAATTACTGCAAGATGGCAGTATCAGCCGAAAGGAAGGCTGCCCCCATGGTTTTCAGTGTGTTAACTGTCAAATCTACATATTTAACTCTAAGTCGCTCCTGAAATCCAGCCCCGTCTACCAACTGCCTACTTGATATCTCCCCTGCAAACACTAAGAGGTATCACAAACTTTATTAAAGTACATTTGGATTCTCCAAAAGGGAGAGAGAGTATACTGCCTTTCTCAAACCTACTTGGTCCTAGAATGCTTTTTTTTCAAGGACCACCTATGAACATTTAGGAATATATGTTTCATGGAACACAATTTGGAAAAAAAAATTAGGCTAGATTATTTCCTCTAGTTCTCAAAGACTATGATTTGGGGACTTAGCACAATAAAGCAGAAGTAGCATAGTTTTAAAATAAGGATATTTAAATGTCTTATGATAGAATTTGTTGCTATAAGAGCATCACCAAAAGAATAATGGGTCTGATCTTACTCTCTACAGAACAGAGAGCACAGCCATCTCCGAATCATCCTCCAGCTTCGGCACTCACTCACAGGTCCAAAGAAGCAAAGAAACACTGCTTCAAATGTCCAAAGACATTAGCATATTCTGCAAGGAAAATTCCATCCAACTAAAAGATTCTTTTTCCAAAACTACTAAACTACAAGCTAGTTTTCACAGCGGAACACTTTACCTTGAGCAAATAACTCCAAACCAAG